AAAACACAACAATCAAAATGCTGAGTTGTGAAGCCCAGTTCCAATGGATGCATCTAGAAAACACTACCATATCCAAGCCCTAGGGAATAATATGGAAGAGGGGACAAAAATCGTAAGAGACAGAAGATCAGGGACTTTTCTTTGAGATTATGTCTCCTACTAATAACATCAGACGCTATACCAACGAATTCTCAGGAACATGACCACCTAAATGTCACCTGAACAAGGAGGACACAATGAACATGCCAAACTGGATAAGGAAAAGTCCACAAAGTCTCAACCCTACACAGAGAACAACAGGCACTGAGTAAAGTTGGGAAGAGGAGAGGTATTCCTCCCCAAGGGAGAGCAAACCAATTGATTTTCTAGTATGAAATGGTCATTCCTGAAAACATACATACAAGTAACATTATATGGACTCAACAGACAACGTTTGTGAATATATATGTATATACAAATGCATGCAACATGCACTAACAGCTGTTGAAAAAGAAGCCACAAATATGAATGGAGTGTAGGGGGTATATATGAGATTTTAGAGGAGGAAAAGGAATTGAGAAATATTGTAATTAAAATACAATCTCAAAGCCAAAAGAAGAAAAAAGGAGATTAAAATCATATTGTAAAAATCTATGTAATCTGAATCAGTCACATCAAAAAGCAGAGAGATTTGTGGGGGAAAATTCAGTTGAACTTTTTATCATGTATAAAGAAACACAAAAATAAAGTGCAGAAAATAATTTGACTGAAAATAAATAATTTGATATATATAAACCCAGTATTTTTGTATTATGAGTTATTGGACATAATGTTTGCAAATAAATGTTTGGGATAAGAAGTAAATACATTACACCCTTAGCAAATACAGTTATCTATTTCAACACATCAGGATATTCCATACAGAATGTGGTCTATAACAACAGCCAAATTTTAAATATGAAATAGTAATGAAACTAATTTTATGGTTGGTGGTCACAGTGTGAGGAACTGTATTTAAAGGCCACAGTATTAGTAAGGTTGAGGGCAACTGTTCTAGTGTCAATCAAGATACCTGTAGTGGAGTGGGTGAAAAAGATTGGGGAGCCAGAATGACTAACTCTGATGAAAACCGGGTCAGAGTCATCCTTCTAGTAGGGCATATTACTATTCTCATTATCTTTGCCAGAAACCTTGCTATCATTGTATTCTTCTGCTTCCTCCACTGCATAGGTACCAGGACAAGGTTAGCTGAACTCCATGATGGCCATGGAATATTTATGTTATGCTTGGAAAAAACAAGCATCTGTGCGTGTGCATGCATGTGTGCGTGCATGTGTGCGCGCATGCGCGCGCGCGCACACACACACACACACCCACACACACACACACTACAGCAGTCTATTATTAAAATATAGAAGCTGTGACAAAAGTATTATATTAGTAATGAGAAATAAATTAAGACTTGAAAATTCAAATATTCTGAATACATATGAAAGTGGTTTAAAAATATACAGATTGAGAATATGTTGTGTATTTATTTGTTTGTCTTGGGTTTTAGAGACAGAAGTCTCTTAGCATAGCCTTGGTTGGCCTGGAACTTACTATGCAGAGTAGGTTCGCTGTAAACTCATAGGAATTTTGCTGCCTCTGCCTGCCAGGTGCTGGAATTAAAGATGTGTATTGTTTGTCTGGCTGTGACTATCATTTTAATAATCTATCTATATTACTATCTTAGAATTAACAATTGCTGAACTTATTCATTATTATTAGGTAAATGTGATATGTCACTTTTATACATAAATTAAAATGCATTTCTTTTTGTGATTATTATTATATTGTTTTCCCCTTCTTTTTTCCTCTTATATACTCCTCTTTGCTCTCTTTCAAATTCATAGGTCTCCATTTGGTTAATTGTTGTTACATATGTTTGCATGTACATGGATGTGTGCATTTGCAGGTGTATATGTTTATAACCTGCACAGTCTTTATGATATTATTTGTTTATATGTCATCAGGGTTTACCATTTGATATTTGATAATGAAGTGGTGTGTTCCCCCTGGAGAAGACTATTTCTCCAACTTTTATCATTCCTTAGGTGTCTTCAGTTTTTTGGGCATGAGGCCTTGTGTGATTTTACCCACTCATGTGAGCATGACTAATGGTGTTTTCCTTGCTCAAATCTTGTCTAGGCAGCCAAGTTGAGAAGACTTTGTGGGTATAGCTCCTGATGTTCCTAGGAGACACAATCTCACAGTAAGCACACTGTTTCTCCTGCTCTTGCAGTCTTTCTACCCACTTTCATATAATGATCCCTGAAATACAGGTACTGGAGTATTTTGTAGAAGTATGAGTTGGGACTGAGCTTCACAACTGCGCATTTTAATTGGTTGTGGTTTTCTATAATGGTCTCTGTCTGTTGCAATAAGAATTTTCCTTGATGAGGGGCAGGGACTTACCTAATTGTTTGTCAGAAATAAAAGATAAGTTCATGAAATTGGTAAAAATTGTTACCATAATTAGATTCAGATGTTGAGATACAGAAAGGAAAACAAGGTTATAAAGTATCTATGTAATGTTAAATGTTCAGTAAAAGAGAATTATATATATTTTAGTATATATTTGTTTAATTATTTGTATTAAAACATTCTTCAAGTTGCAGAGTGTATCCTTGGAATAGAATTTCTCTCCCAGTACCATTAATTCATTTCTTTACTCAATTAGTAAATATAAATGCATTTTAAATATCTTTTACGTGTGTTTTTGTAAATTTTGGAATCTATGAAATGAAAAATCAGTCTGTAATATGGTATATGAGAGGACATTTGTTTGTAGCTATAATCTATATTCTACACAACATTTTAATGTTCACATACATGTAGTTTTTTCATGTAAAGAATCTTTATTAAATCTTCTAGCTTTTACCTGTAGTTCAATTATAAATCACTAATTTGGGGGTCTTCGTGATAAGCAATACATCATAAGTCTTACAATGATTTTGAATCAGGTACCACTTCTGCCACTTGGGTTACAATGATAGTGAATGTCTGGGTCACTTTTCAGGGTATTGAAAGCTGATTTTGATGAAAACACTGGTTCTTCACTGAGGCCTCTGACATGACTCACAATCTGGGTACTGTAACACTGACTACTGGTGGTGAGGGAAAGTAGAAATATCTGACACATACATGTATAGAAAAGCTGGGGTCTGATGAGGGTGTGTGCATTTTGATAAGGAGACAATTACTACCCTTCTCCATGGAATGTCAGCAAGTTCATTAAGTACCACACATGGGAAGGGTTATCTAGTCTTGGTAGGAGGTCTATGTAGGTGAGCAGTCTTAGGCTGTAAACATCCAGGAGGAGGTAGCGGCAGTTGCTACATCTGTACTCAATAGTCATGTTGAGACTCCCAAGGAAACTATTGCCATCCAACTGAGCCTTACTGGGGGAAAGCTTTTCTGCTCCTTTGAGGCCAAGGCATTGGAATACTTGGCCTGACATTCACTCACTAGGGCTTCTTCTGCTCCCTATACATGTGCAGATGTCCACAAGTGACTGGAGAACAGTACAAAGGCTTGCCACATTTGGAGATCACAGCAAGCAATGGTTGGCTTTATCATTTGAACACTAACCTTTGGTATAGTTGATATATGAAACTTCTGCATGAATAATTGAATAAGAAATGCATGCACCATGTAAACACACCTACATACAACACTGACTTGTGCATGGCTAAAGACACTTCTCTCTGAGGAAATGCAAATTGTCTCTTACAGGAGCTGCTATTTATGGGGAAGCTAAATGTAGGATTTCCAGTTCATAATCAAAGGTGGAGTGATGGGTTCCTGCAGAGCCTTCAGTGCACAGAGGAATAACTATCATACATGTTTTTATGCCATCTTGTTATTTACTGTTTATATTGCATCATTGGACCTTTGCTTATATCTTAGCTATCAAAGAGGAAGGACTCACTAATGTTATTTGTCTCACATTTTGTGAGGCTATGTATCTTCATGTACCTTGATGCTTTTGGTTTTTGACAACTCAACAGATGTTGGCACAATAGACAGAAAATGAATAAAATTATACATCTTTGGTGTCTATGGAAAAATGTTTTCCTTCAAGGAGAAGGAATATTCCTGTGTATATAGACTCATTAACCTTAGTAATTTCTTCCTGGTACTACAGGGATATTCACATATATGTTCACATGCATTCATACACCACTCTAATTTTACAAAAATGTTTGCAATTAATGTTCCATGATTGACATTTTCTAACATTGTTATAGACAGCACCACCTTAAAATCTGTCAGAGTGCTATGCAGGAGCTACATGAACCATAAATGCTGCACAGGAAAAAAAATTATGTTAACAAAAATGGGCATTGGATTCAAATGTGTATGAATATTGGCATGAGCATACCTTTGTATAAAATCAAATGACGAATACATATTTTATACATACTGAACTTTTGACAAATGATTTTCATAAGGTTATTTGATTGTGGACAGTTTGCTAGAAGTGATTTGCATTCAGTGACAGATCTGGAAGCTAGTGATTGAAGCTTTTTAAAGATAAGTGGTGCTAAGGAATTACTAGGCACAAGTTCCCATTTTTGCTGCCTTGTATGCAGGATAGAATTTTTATGCAATTTACCTAATAATCATTACCAGATTAATATATAACAGAAAATGAGAAACATGATGCAAATAAATATACAGACACATGGCAGATCAGTGTCTCCTTGATCAAAATTTGCACTGTCGGTAGGCTGCTGTGTGTAAGGCACACCACATCTGGATGGAGCTCAGGAAAGCTGCCTGGGAAAATACACGGCTTTTATGATGGAAAGTGTGAAGTCATTAGCAAGGTTTAATGGCTCATTTGCTCTTATATTTGGAAGTTGTTTAAGAGAATGTGCTATGGGGTTTTGAGAACTGAATATGCACAGCATTTTAGGAGTATGTGCTAACAAATCTTAAGCAGTGACAAGAGAAATTGGAACAGTCACTAGAAGATGAGCGGTGCCCTGAAGATCACATTTACAGTCATTCTGAGTGTGGAATTTATAATTGGCAACTTTGGGAATGGACTCATAGCAGTGGTGAACATTCTGGCCTTGGGCAAGAGAAGAAAGATCTCTTCAGTGGATCAGATCCTCACCGCTCTGGCCATCTCTAGAATTGGGCTGCTGTGGTTAGTATTACTGAATTGGTGGCTGTCTGTGCTTTATCCAGGGAGATGGATCAATGAAAGAATGGTTGGGATAATACACAGTCTCTGGACAACATTCAACCAGTTAAGCCTCTGGTTAGCTACAAGCCTCAGCATCTTTTGCTGTTTCAAGATAGCCAATTTTTCCAACACCATTTTTCTCTATTTTAAGGTCAGAGTTAAAAAAGTGGTGACAGTGACATTGTTTGTGTCTTTGTTTCACTTGTGTTTAAACATTATAGTTATTAATGCACCTGAGGATATTTCAGTCACTGAGTACAAGGTAAATATGTCTTACAGCTTGAGTTTGAATGACACAGAGATTTCCATTCTATGGTTTTTATTTGCCAACACCATGTTCGCGTTCATACCCTTTGTTGTTACCCTGGTCACTTTTCTCCTGCTCATCTTCTCATTGTGGAAGCATCTGAGGAAGATGCAGCACAGTGCCCAAGGATGCCGAGATGCCAGCACCACGGCCCACATCAGAGCCTTGCAGACAGTGATTGCCTCTCTCCTCCTGTATGTGCTTTTCTTTTCATCTCTTGTTGCTTACCTTTGGGGGTCTCTGCTTCTGAAGAAAAAGGTGATGCTTTTGTTCACACAGGCTGCAAGAATTGCTTTTCCTGCAGTGCACCCCTGTGTTCTGATTCTGGGAAATACTAAGTTGAGGAAGGCTTTTCTCTCCATTCTGCTGTGGCTGAGGTGCAGGCACAAAGAAGGGGACCTTGGGGTGCAGAGAGCCAGGGCTTAATTGTGCGATCATCTTGCATACCTTAGAGGAACATTAGATCACAAGATATTCATGTATTTAAATGTTTTCAGTTTCTGAATTGTATAAAAACGTGTGCTAGCTTTTCAACCTGCAAAGGAGTGTTTTGAATAAATGCTACCTAAGCGTGGTACAGTCTTTGTAAAACATTTTAACATGTATGGTAGTGTCTAGATACTAAAATTGTATGAATGTAGATCACTTGAATGCAAGAAATTATTACAACAAGCCTTAATTTTATACCTGTTAATTCCCTTTTAACATCTCAGACAAATAAATCTAAATATAGGATATGTATTTATACATGTTCCCTAAAGGAGAACTTTATAATTTTACATACTGTTCTGGTTAGTTATTTGTCAACTTGTCAGAAGCTTGTATCATCTGAGAAGACAACATTTCAACTGGAAAAATACTTCCATCAAATTGGGCAGTAGGCAAGTCTGTGGAATATTTTCTTAATTGATGGCTGATATTGATAGTCCCAATTGATTATGGGCAGTACCGCCCCTGGGTCGATGGTTCTGGGTTGTATAAATAAGCAAGCTGAGCAAGCCATAGAGAACAAGACAGTAAGCTGAAATCTTCCATGACCTTTGCATCAGATTCTGCCTCCAGGTTGCTACCTATATTTCCTGCCCTGACCTCCCTATATTATTGACTATAAACAATAAGCTGAAATAGCCCCTTTCATTCCCAAGATGCTTTTGGTCATGGTGTCTATCACATCATTAGAAAGCATTAGGACAGACACTAAAAGCATATTTTATATAGGAACTATTACTAAATATTGTATAAGAATTGACACATAAGTTAAGAATTACTAGAAGTGAAATACGTTGTCCATTTAAAATATCAGATTCAACTTACAAATTTTAAAATTTATTATGACATCATGAACCTATATTTTACTAGTTTTGTAACAACCATGTTATCATAAGGAAAGACATTTGGAGTAAAGTGACCACCATTAAATAAACGTGAATGTTTTATATGCTTACATGTTGCTAGTAATAATTCAGTAACACAAAAGACAGGGAAATGCAACCATTATGTGAAGTTATAAAGAAAGTGAGATGTTTTTAAATAATTTAGGTGCAAGAGGGATATGGAGAAGGAAGCATCCCATGTGCTGTGTGTTCAGTGCTGTTTAAATCTTTAGGGAGAGGAAAGACATTGTATATTTTAGATATGAAGACTCTTGTAATTTGTCAAACAAATAAATTCTTTCAAATTGCTGTTTTCTTTGTTATTTTGGTAAGGTTCTTTCTTTTTTTCTTCTTATGTAATGTTTTCATTTGTTTATTTGTTATAAAGCTATAAAATGTCAAATAGTGTTTTTATGTTTTTGGTAACAGTTTACAGACATTTTAAGCAGAAACAGGTGGCATAAAATGGAATGTGGGGGGCTGGAGAGATGGCTCAGAGGTTAAGAGCACCGACTGCTCTTCCAGAGGTCCTGAGTTCAATTCCCAGCAACCACATGGTGGCTCACAGCCATCCGTTATGAGATCTGGTGCCCTCTTCTGGTGTTCAGATATATATGGAAGCAGAATGTTGTATACATAATAAATAAATAAAATCTTTAAAAAATGAAATGTGGGGTGTTTTAAATATAAAAGCAGAATTTGTATTAAATAAGTAGATAATCTATGTATTTCATAATCTCCTGTTTCTTATCAATGCTTGACTAAATGATATTTCATGTGAAGAAGCCAAGTTTCTGAGGTATAAAAAGACTTAGCAGTGCTTTAAGTTGTTAGCAGACAGCTTATAAAATAAACTTGGCAAGGCTGTGGGATGACTGATCTGGAAATGCCAATCCAACCCAATAAATGGAATGTCTCCCAAACTCAGAAGAAACATCAAGAGATTAAGGTGATATTGACTTGAAAGTTTCCTTTATAATGACAAGTTTCACAGTACCAGACACTCATCTCCTGGCAAAGGCATGACTTAAGTTTCACACTACAAAATGAAATGCATACCTGGCACCATTGTTAGTCCAAGAACCTGCAGCCATGCAGGCCATAGACCTTATGGGAGAACTTATACTCTGATTCTGCTAAATTGCTAAATGGACATAGTAATAAAACATCTCCTCATGACTACATTTATAGGATAATGCATCTCTCAACCCCCAGTGGTAAGTGTCTGTTTGCAGCAGATGGAAATTAACACAGAGGCCCACATCTGGTCAAGGTGTAGAGAGTAAAAAGACCGTGGGATGCTCAGCCTTAAATGAGACAACCGTATCACATTCCCTTCTCACAGTGCTCAGGGATCATTTGCAGTAGCTGAGGCAGGCAGAGTGTAAGAGCCAGCAGACGTGGATGCCCTCAAGGAAACTGTTTTCTGGACATTGTAGGGAAGGAGAATATATGAATTCATAGTTGTCCTTATAATGTGTACAACCTTTGCAAACTCAAGGCAGATCAAATCCTAGCATGGAGAGGGAAGGAGGGAATGGTGACCCACAGCCAAATCAACGATTTGTTGGCAACCAAGAGCTGCAGGGAGATAGACACTCTATTCTTTTAAAAGAATTTAGCCCTCACAAACCAACCATGATCCAGTGGCACACCACATAGCTAAAATATATGAGTGCACAAATTGTGCTTAGTAAGTGTTAAGACATAAAAGAAGACACATTTATATGGGCAGGGGTGAAATAGGCTGACTATGGGTAGAGTTATGGAATGAAGGGAATATAAAAACTTACTGTATGTAATTCTCAAGCAACTAATGAAATTTACGAAAAGGGCGAATAGGTAGGAATTAGAATCATTAGTTTCAAAAACAAAGTACCAAAATAAATGAATCAAATGACTATAATTTAAGTGTTAAATCCATAACAAACAAAAATGTAATATTTTGCAAGTTCATAGACTAACCTGTAAGAGCAACATTATATAGATTGAATATATATGTATCTAGCTATACATATATGCATGAAGTTACAATTAATAAAAAAGATCATGAATTTGAATGAGAACTGGGAGGGATACATGGTAGGGTTTTGAGTGAGTAAAGTGAAGGGAATAATAATATAGGGGAGAGAGAGAGAGAGAGAGGAGGAGAGAGAGAGAGAGAGAGAGAGAGAGAGAGAGAGAGAGGATTGAGAGGTGGCAGGACCCTTTTAAAAGGGAACATAGTGAATGTGCACAGGTGGTGCTCTGAGTGGCTGCAGCTGAGGGCGTATTCTGTCAGAACCCCAAGGACAGGCCAGTGCAGATGACTGAATACTAATGTCATACTTCCATTCTCAGCCAAATTATAACTGAACAAGGAATGATTCTTTGATATGTCAGATTATTATTACCATTATCCTCAATGAACCCAACAATATATGAACATCCAAGTGCTTGTAAAATAACATTGTGTATGCATATCATAATACCAACATCCATTGGCGGGTTAATGGGATTAATAAACACCTTGCTCCTTGATGAGGCACAGCTCTGAGTATGTCTGTGAAGTCTTTTAAAAGAGAATTACCTGAGGTCAAAGGACTCATACTAAATGTTGGCCCCACCATTCCACAAAATGGGTCCTTGGGCTGAAGAAATAGAAAGACAGGGAGGGGCAAGTTCATTTCTTTCTCTGCTTTCTGATTCATCCAGATATATGCAGGCTGACATGTTTCCACTGTCATAAAAAGATCCATTCCTATCACCATGCTTTCATCACTACAATGGCCTGTACAGTCAAACTGTGAGCCAAAACCAAGCTTCCCTTTCTCTCATAGTTTGTTGACAGAAATTTTGTCATAGAAATGAAAAACATTAATGTAGAAAGTTATCGACAAGAAATGGGGCTGTTGCTGTTAGAAAGTCAACCATGTGGTTTCCAGGCCTTTGTGATAGTTTGCAGGAGGAATGCAGACATGTTTTGTGGTTTTCATTTCTCACTGTTACAGGCCATTCAGATAAGTGTTCAGCAACCAGAATGGTAATAGAAATCTTGACTGTGGAGGCAATGCACCTGAACTGTCATGGGGACCATGGATTCTTATTAGAACTGGATGGCCAGTGATCATTCACATTATAATCTGCAATGAATCTGGTTATCTACAGTCTATGTATTGGAACATAATGATGTCATCAAAAGCCCAAGATGCCGTACTTGGTCCCACAGAGTTTGATGATTGACTTGCTGAATATTGATCTTGCTTTGGTTCAAGGATTCCATGTCAACAAACTGGCCCTATTTTTTTTGACCATGGAAAAGTTTCTTTGTGTCATTGTATATTGGAAGTATATTTTTGGTTTTGTGAGGGCTAGTAGGGCAGAGAGAGAAACTTCTTTTAGTAGTAGGCAGAGTATATGAAGCTAAATAATTTTCACTTATTTATTCTCTCATGAAGTGATTTCTTATTTTCCTTTATAAATGACATATTATGGAATGATCTTGTGTTGCTGTGTGGAGGAAAACTTTGTTTCTGCCTTCCAAGTAGAATTAAGCATATTCCTAATCCACTGTAAAATGTACATAGAGGGACTCAGGGAAGCACTTCACTGTGAGTGCAGTGCCTTCGATGGACCCAGTTCTTTGGGGTCTCTAAATCTGACCCCTCAAGGGCGTCTCAAGTATTTCTTTGTCTTTGTTGAATGTCATATTTATTACCTGAAAGCATCCAAGTCAGAAGGGCCTCCCATCTGATACTGTCTTTCATTTTGTATTCTTCAATTTTCTTCATATTTTACCCACACATATGTTTCTTTCTTAGATGTAGGCCATTCGTGAGAATTTCCAAAATATAGTATATATACACATTTTGTTAAACATTGCTCTTTAGGAGGCAGATGATGGGACAGAAGCTTGCTTTGGAACAAGGCAGTCTGTCCTTGCAGTGTCTGAAGCCTGTGCACCCATGCCTTCTTTGCTAGTTCTCCTTCAATCTGTATCCTTGGTCCTTGCTCACTCTTTCGCTGTTATAAACATTAATAGTTGTGTCATGTGCTCATTGGCATCTTGCTCAGGTGGTAGTGTAGCAGGTCCTAGTAGGCAAGTGAATACCACTGATAAAGAATTCTTTCTGTGTTGTTAAGTTATTGACCTCACTGGCTGCCTCATGGGGCCATAGACAGATTTCTTACCTGTGAAGAACATTCTGGAAATTTACTATATGCTGCATTTAATTCTGCATAATGTGAACTTGGATGCATGCAATGTCTTAACAACTATCCTTGTAACAATGATAAACTTGATCCAATCTTATAACAGTGAAACACTGAATGAAGAGAGAAAGGGGGAGGATTCCAGAAAATACACTTTTGTGATATTTTGTTTGTGTTCTGACAAATAACGCCATACTGGATATCAGAGGGTGGAGTTAGCCATTATTGAACCATAGAGGTCTGGAGGTCTATACAGACAGGACACAGGAAGTGATATGGCTGGATGGAGAGAGGAAGTGATAAGGCAGAGTGTAGACAGGATCTCAGTCCCTTCCAGTCTGAAATTTCATATGTGTAAGAATTCTAGTGTATGGCTGCTCTGCTTCTCTGATCTTTCATCTTTCAACCCCCTAATATCTGACTCTTGGTTTTTATTAATAAGACTAATTAGG